AAAAAAACACACAGGCATATAAATGCATTTGACAGGAAAATAGAAAAACTCTACCACAACAGCAATTAGAACAGCTTGCTGCATTATAAGTATCACTTCCCTGTCAAATTCGTGGTTCATGCTTATTTGAATCTGAACATAACAGGCCAATTCTATCACACCTTGCTAGGCTTGAACTTCCATCCAATCAGAGCATTCCAAATGAACATGATTCTTCACAATACTAAAGGGCGCTCTGACCAAAAAATTGCCATTATCTAAATAAAAAGAACTGAATGTCCACAGTTATGTCTGTAGGTGTACCTTACCTGCATGCAAAATGAAAGTCTAAGATTGGTCGGTTATGTACGTTCTTATCCAGAGTGAATTCAGACCCATTTTAACACGTAGCCAGGGTAGTGAAATTAAACGGTACCCACCGAAAAATACACAGGGTCAGAACCCTGACCAACACATTGAATTAAAGTCCAAGATTGGTCGGTATTTAAATATATACAAAAATACATAGACTTACAAGACTAATTTTTAATGCGTGGTTTTCGTGGTGAACTATATAGACAAAAAAGACAGATGCTGCGCATCCAGCAATCAAGTGGAAGTTGCGACAATGGAGACTCACCACAGACTTCAAAATGTTGTGTCGCTCCCCAGACATCGATGTTCGATCTTTCGACGGCGGCCAATGTTTATTAAAGGGTATTTGCTTGTTATGATGTGTTTTGGAGCCAATTTATTATTTCCCTCTCACGCACGTAACAAAACCATAAACTGTTATAAACTGATTCTTTTTTGAGTTTATAATGACAAAATAACCAGTATGCGCCGGAATATTTATTAAAGTTTGCTATGTTGCAACTAAAAATTTCACTAAGGCAACCCCAATCCAGATAGTCGGCAAAAAGCACACATTTAACACATACAAATAACAGGGGGAAACAGATTAATAAGATAAATACAGACATCGAAAAATTCCAACAAGTATGTCGCATACGACTTATTTACCACTTCCGTGTCACTGAGAATGTTCTAAAACCGTACTGTGTCTGGGTGGAATATTCTAGATTTTTTTAGAAACTGGTAATAGGTAATAGAAATCTATAGTAAATTCCTGACTCATGATGTATGCTGATGTAATGGTCTATTTATAGACAGTGTGGGTATATATAGGGGAGTTGTTCAACACTGAGATCAGATCGGAGATCTCGTTGAATTGTATTGGAGTTTAAGTACTAGTATCTAGTTATTGGAGTAGTAGAGTTTTACCAAGTTATTGTACTTGATGTTTGCAGAGTATAATAATATAATGTTGGCTCCGTGTTCGCATGTTATCATCGCCGCCAGGGAAGTCTTTCTGTTGCTGTTGCCATTTTGGTATTTGAACCATCACACCTGTACTATACAAATAACGGTAATATTACGTTGCAGTAATTTGCGCGTCGTTGGGCCACAGAAGGGCGCCCTAATAGAAATATAATTTCATTAAATAGATTCACTAAAAATCTGTTTGTTACAACTTCATGGTGTCTTTATGTAAACCATATTTGTTATACCAGTAAAGACACACATTTGGGAATATCAAAACGACATTTGACATACCAATTTCCGTTGTTGTTTCAAATTCCTAGTGGGGAATGTATATATGATGTATAATTTATCATAATATAATTTGATGCTAAGAAAGTTAAACAACAACATATGATATTCGAATTCCATGTATATTTTTTATATAATACAATATAAAATCAGAGTAAATAATTTACATGTAAGTTTCCCAGACACTAAACCATAGATACTTAGGAAAAGTTGAATATGGCTGATTATTATGCAAAATATGTCATTGGGAAAGCTAACCGCTAACTAATCAGGTTTGTGCATTGTGCTATATTAGATTCAAGCGGAACCGACATGCATACAGACAGGTTAACAATAATATGCGAGACCCAATCAGCCAGTGCGTTGTGTTTTAAAAAAGTTTGATTTCAAATCTGTAACATTTTGTTTCACAATTACTTTTTCTTTTCAGTCTGTTATATTAATGTCTTTTTAGATTTGTTATTGTATTACTCATCTTTAATCATTTTCCACTCTACATTTGTAATGAAACTCGCTGCAATTCCAGCTCCACCACCAATAACACACCCTGCTGCTGCTCCTGCTACTGCTCCTGCAGCTGCCCCCGCTACCACTCCTTCAATAACAACAACTGCCCCACCTCCAATAGCAACAGCTGTAAGGCTTCCGCTACCAGCAGCACAAGCAACAACAGCACCACTTGCCTTTATGGCAATTGCATAACCAAGAGGTCCAGCAGCTAGGCCACCTAGTATAGCACCTAAAGCAATTCCAACCCCAATGCCCCATTTTAATCCTGAGGACATGTTAGGACTATTTGCCATTCCCCTCACAACAGCAAATTTATTTTTTCCATCATTCCGTACCACTAGGTACATGTTTTCTTTCGTTCCACATCTGAAGACAATTTGCATGGTTTCACTTGCACAGACAATTTCTGCATCTGTTAATGCCTGAAAACAAATTAATAATGTATTACATATTAATATGCACTTGATAACAAGTCAATGTCAACATATTCCCTGTTGTTATTGAGGTGAATTAACATTTGAGGACCTTACGACTTTGAAATAATTCGGCAAAGACAAATCCGAGGAATAGTTAAAGACATTGTGTGTTTGCATATGGCAATAAATACAATTAACATACACAAGAACCTGTTCATGGCCTTAATTGTTTTGTGATTTGATTTTGACAACATTCATTGAATCCCCTGAATAAGAAAGACGAGAACTCGTAATATTTTTGAATGATATCACGGAACCAATTGATCTTCACTTGCAATCTACCATGAGTTGTATCAACATGTTATTAATGAAATGTTTAAAGTTTTTCAGGACAAACATGACCGACAGTCAATCAATCAAAGGTTGATATAACAAAAATAGCACCACGTGCTATTATGACCTGTCTCTGTGTTATGCCCGAGAAAAAAAGGAGAATACAAATTCTTACCACTTCACCACTGCAATGTCCAAAATACAATTTACTGTCGCATGATTGGTGAGAGTAAGTTGCACGAATTTGTATTTTATTCTAATAAAGCGGCATTCATAATAAAATACAACGATCAACTTTTATTGGTTTGAAAGGGAACGTAATGTACTTTTACTGTCATTATATTGTTTCGCCGTTTGAGAATATACTTACTTTTGATGGAATTTCCTTGGCTACACAAGTTACAGCTGCCTGCAACAATTTTCTATCTTCGGGATGTATATAACTTTGATAACATTGTATTATTCGCTGAATATCACTGACACTAATTGATTTATCGCAGTCTTTTTTCATATAAGATAACTGTAACAGTGGAACAAGATCATATAGAAATATTGTAACCACTTCGAAAATTAAAAAGACTGTCGGGTGGACTGTGTGCATCTGTATTATGAAGATGGTGTCTTGGGGGGGGGGGTGCAAAGTGTCAGCACACAGATCACACATTAGAAACATTTGTATCGAGTTTCACAAAAGTTACTAAAGTATATAGACCACGATAAGCAAATTATCAACATGATGCTTATGAGTAACATGAACAAAATCAGTAACAGTAACTGTTTTTTGTAAAATAATTTTTCGTTTGGGGTAAGAGGTGTGCTCACAAGCCAAGATTTATTTTAACTGCAAAATAGATTCTTTTTTTTAGGAACATGACTAATAGTGACACCAACGCCTAATTACACAACGTTTGTACAAAATAATTTGTACAAAATAATTTCTATGTAAGCAATTTTTATACATATTATGTACACTCATCTATGGGACACGTGATTATATAATAAACCAAACAAGAATGACCAAAAGTACGATTTGAATCATGTTTAGATCGAACGACTGTGATTAGCATTAAATAATAATTGACCTTAATTGATATTTATTCGTATTAACTGTCATGAACCAATGAACAAATACATATTTTGGAACAGAAACCTTTATGAATCTGTACATGATAATATGTAATGTGTAATTTTAAATTTATTCAAAATGTTGTTTACATGAGTATCATATATTTAAAATGCCAATCATTATTCATAAAGGCGAACAGATGAGAATTACATTAACTTTGTTATATCAATGTATTAAGTTACCTCGACACGTCCTATTATATGTTTCAGTACAAGGGCATTACTGATGATTTTCCGTAAGGCTGCCATCATAACATCATTCCCTTTTGTCTCAATAACATTACGTAATTCAGTAACTGTGTAGCCATTGTCGAGTAGGTCATTCACAATCTCGTCGATGTTATATAAATTAAGTCCTTCCAGTAAACGTTTCCAGTCATTAATATAATTGGTACGATCCATTTAGGAAACTCTGATAAAAAAGGAAAGATTACGCTCAATTTTGGAATAGGCAAAATAATTTTAATGGAGCTAGATGCCCGGCGAGTGTTATTTCTCTGCAAAAGCAACAGTTGAATTGTCACAATAGATAATCAGTCAGACAATATCACAGTGCGACATTATCAAAAAGGAATCTCATGGACCATTAAGTCCTCATACCAATCAGACGAAACAAATGAAAATTGATGATGATTATATTGACTTCAATATTGATATTTTCATATAAACACATGCAAGTATTCAAGCATATTTAATACATCATGAGAAAACGTTTAGCTATACAAGACACGGATATTTGAGATTCACGTGAATTATTTGTATATACTATATTCACACTGTGTTTCATAAATGTCCATCCCCGTGCTTGAATCATTATTTTAAGTTATTTTGTATTAGGATCGAGCAAAAATCTCTGAATTTGTTAGGACAACATAGGTGGCGCCATAATTATTCTGATAGTGTTAACTATTTTATGTTTTATTCTAAAATATATAAGGGTTCTTTTTTTAAATTATGTCAATACATTTAAATTTACAGGTGGCTTTAACTATTAAAATTGACCCCTCCAAATACTGAGTAAATTACTGATTTGAGCTGACCGGGATTTTTTTGTTTTAAATACACACAAGAGCTTTCTAAAGATGGTACTTGTAAGTTTGTACTGGCTTTGGTACCATATGCAGTCCCAGTGTCCGTGTTACGTT